AAATTAAGTTTTTATATATTTCATGTAATTACTTGTATAAATTACCCAATAAAGATATGAGCAAGGCCTCACCTTAACACCAAAAAAAAAAAACAAAAAAAAAAACAAAACAGTTTAGCTTATATGCTAAATAACTTCAGGATATAAATTATCAAATTAATCCATAGAACAAAACAGTTAACAATTATCAATAGACGAAAACTGGAAACATTTCTAAAAAAGTTAAGAAAGCTATTAAAATAATGGTATAAAATATTTACTTATTTATAATAAATACCTACTATTTATAAAAAGAAAAACAGATCATATTCTAAAGCTTTTTCACTGAAGTGAATTTCAAGCATTAGTGAAACAACATACATAAGTATTGCTACTCTTTGTTTGAATACAAAAGAAATAAGGGCATTACCAACTTGTTAAAAGCTGGTTCTAGCCTTATAGTCATCAACAGAAACTTGTGCAAGATATTTTTTAATAACTTAATTAGAGAACAAGTGTATAATATATACCCAATACATTCATGTATAATTTTTAAAATTCAGATCATTGATTGGTCGATGAGGTTTTGGATATGCAGGAAGAAAAGGGCAACCGATTTAGGTTTTGATTTCAGTTTGGAATCACAATAATGATCGACCCCAATCCTAAATTAGGTAAAAAGTTGTAATTGTCCCATTTGGGTTTGGTTTACATCGCTAATTGAGGTCAAGTATATATTTGGGTCGACACTTGAGTGTGAATTTAGAGAGGGTGTGCACTTATAGAGGGTGCACTTAGAGAGGTCTGACTGTATACTGTAGAGTGAAGGTAACCAGAAATGTTTTCATATAAAACTATTTTATTATGTTAGATTTAAATAAACTTTTTTTTTAACTGTTTAATTTGAACAAGTACAAGCTCTTTAACAAGAAGATCTGGGCTTAATATTTAAATTTGGTCAGTTCATTTAGTGTGTTTGAGCTTGTCAACTGTGAATTAATAGTTAAAGTTTTAATAGGTTTAATTTATATCTTATAAGGTAGATTCTTTAATAGTTTGGGTTTATTAGTAATAAATATTTTATTTACCCACTTTACGCGTATCTATTCTCTATATATTAATAATAATTCTTTTGTGTGTATTTATTAACTTGTAAGCTTCTTTATACGAAGTTTCTTTCATTTTCTAATATTGTAGTATTAATTAAAAATTATACATTTGATTGGTTAATTATCATGGGAAATCACGGGTAGATCTACAAAAATCAACTAATCATATAAATGTCTTCTTATGAGTGTATAGCTATTACATATTTTTTTATTTATGAACTAATATAAATACAAAATAAAATATTAAGTCTGAATCTCATAATTTAAAATATATAGCGGTAATTATTTACGTGTGTTAGACTGTGTTATAGTTGGCTGCTTACGTGATGTAGAGTGTCTAGACTTGTGCAATTACATTTTAGACACATAAAATGCGTGGTAAATTTATCTTTTTTGATGTAACTAGTGCAATATTGCTTAATATCAACATAATAAAAGCCAATGCACATAATATGTAACTTTTTTGATCTAAATTAACTTGTAATTATTTAAACAATTATGGTGTGGCATAGTAATAACTGCTATATAGTTATTGTTATCATTATTTGTTTTTAATCCCTAATTTAATTGCACTGGTATTACAATCAAAATTTGTATATTACAGTAGTTACAGTAGCAGTACATTAACCCTAGCTGCCGCAACAAAATGGTACGACAGATTCTCGATTTTGATTGGCTAAGAGCGACGATCAAAAAATTAGGCCGGAATTACTCCTAATTTTACTAATGAAATCGCAGCCGTCCATTAAGTGAAAATTGTTCCTGGGCCAATTTTACCATAATGCGAGCTTATTTTATAAAAATTTCTATTTTTGTAATGAAAAAGTCAAAAAGTTAATTCCGGCCGGAAATTAGTAAACAATTATGTAATGCGGGCCAAAATTTGAAGATCTTCGGCAGTTAGCCAATCAAAATCGAGGATATGCCGTGACAAGTTTGTTGCGGCAGCTATGGTTGATGTAGTAGTACAGTACTGCAGTAAAAAAAGTATGTTACACATCACATGATTCTGTACGTACGTACGTGGATCTACTTTATTTGTTATTCTGGGATTTGCTATAATCAACGATACACAGACATTCGGTACAATTTTCCATGAGGAAAATATTTGCCAAGACTTTAATAAAGCCCAAATTAATCAATAAAATATGGTAGTTTTGGCTTTAGACATATCATTTAATATTTTAAAAATAAACGACCACCTTCTGAGCTTGGGGACCATCACCTACATCCGGGTTGGCGCAATTCAGGGATCGAGTCTAGGATCCACTGTAGATCATTGTACACTGACTGTACACCTATTTGTCATTATGTACCTTAAAAATAAAGTTCATAGGTCTACGGAATTCGAAACTGTTTATACCTAGATTTTAATAACGTGTAACCTTCTCATACGATTACCTAATGTATCGATTAGTCTAGGCAAATCGGATTATATTTTCCCCGTTCAAAATATAACAAATGCTAATATTACAGTCTGTATTTTTATACAAATCTATATATATAGTTTTAAAGAAATTATACACATATATGTATAATCTTTTTTACAGTTTAATATTGAAAATTATAAAACTGTTATAAATGTTTGGCTAATACAGTATTAAAGTCAGTTTCAGAAACTTGGAACCGAAACAATGATTCTAATTCTTTTTTTCACTAAACTATTTATAAAGATTAAAGACCTAAGGTCTTCTCAATCTGATTATTTATAAAGTCAAAAAGGCCGCAGTCCTAAAAAAGGGGTAATGTAAGGTACGTATGTATAGTATTTTAGATGGAAATTTTTATTCGATTATTTTTTATTGTTTTTATTGTCACATATCAGGATATCAATTATTTTAGTAATAAAGAATTAAAAAATGTTCTTTGTTCTGCCAAGTATATTCCATTAGATATTATTACATACGCATTTAACGAATTTCTAACACATAATTTAAAGTTGTCCTTGTATGTACGTTCGGTAATACAAATGATATATTTGATATAGTTGATACAAACCGTGCATGTAGGGTATAAAGAACGAAATTTTGAGTTAAGGGCAAACTCCGGTTGGAAATAACTCCGAAATCGTATACAAGTATATATAACTTTTTGATTATTTTGTTTATAATTTCTTTTTTTTATACGTATTTTTAATAATTAAATTATTCTGCGGATTTTCACTTGAATTATTTTCACGTTTTAATAATTATCATAAAGAAAAATGGACCAAAAAGATGAAATTAAAGGCCAATCGATGGCTTCAATCTCTCAAACAGCTTTTTCTGCCACAGAATTAACTGAAAGTCAAACAACTATATCTCAATTTACAACAGAAACTCATCTAATCGGCATCAATAAAAATCAATCAAAGTCTTCATTCAATTTTCTTACGACTCTGAAATCAGTCTTTACTCGTAAGCCTTCAATTCAAGACCCTTCTAACAAAAGTACAAAAATATTGCAAACACAATTGATACATCTTAGAGATACAGAACCCGAATATGGAGTAGTAAAAAATTTATTTAATATAGAGACGAAAATTCATGGCATT